GAAATAAGTCTACTTTTAACTCTTTAATCCTGAGTCTAATAAAGTACCAGATAGATGATAGATAAGTAATAGATAAAACTTATTGTGGAGCAGACCAATTGTTTAACACTTTAATCAATTTGTGTGTGTTTCTGTAGATGTTGGTGTATTTTATATATGACATTTTATTATGTTTTCTATATTTTTCTTTGTTTCATATTCTCTTTCCTTATATTTTGTATCAGCCAGATGGATATTAGTACTGTTCTTTTTCCCCTGCACACTAAAGTGTAAATTGTAGTCAAAATTGCTTACTCCTGGAATTGATAAAAACAAAGAATGTTGACATAAGAAAAAAACTTCAAATAAATAAACAATAACAGGTATTTTCAGGGGAAAATCCAATCTACATCAACTTTTGTGGAAGGCAAAAGGGAACTTGTAATAGCCAGTATCTGCAGATATTTTGGTAGTTAGAATTTCCACCTTATTGTTTATTCCCTAATGACCTCTCTTTCTTTTTTTTTTTTTTTTGACCCCTCTTTCTGTAATGAGTCTGGAGTCATCTTTCTTGCAAGCTACAGCAGTTACCTGGACTTAGAAATTAGTTTGTAATTTTTTTTAATACTGCTTTACTTTTGTGAATGAGCTCTATAGGGAAATGGAGGCTTACTCTTTCCTGGGGCATCCACACTCAATGAGTCATTTCTCATTTCTGAGCTGGCTAAAGAGAATAGTGATTTGAGGAGTTTAGATGAATCATAGAGGAAGAGTTCTTCCACTCAATTTACCATCATGCCATGCATTTATGTACCTATTTAAAAATTAACTTGTAACCCCTAGAAATAGATCACTCTCTGTCACGCACATAGCTTCCCTTTAAAACATTATTACAACTTCTGTTCACCACAGAAGGATATTTTGACTTGTTAGAGTGGTTAACTGAAGCAATGCCCAAGGAACATCAGGTTAGTTTTAATCTTTCAATATCACCCAATTGTAATAAATATGTGTTAGTGACTACATATATGGATCTTGACAATATTTATTTTAAAATTAATTATAAATTATCAGAAGCCATTTTACCCAGGGCTTACTGAAAAGTTTTTCTGGAGTAAATTAAAGAAAAATTGCTAGAGAAATATTTTAGAGATTACTGTCCTTTTATATTTGTCATTAACGTCCTGTTGTAGCTTCAGATTGCCTAAGCAAATGACAAGTAATGTTACTCTATAGTGATTTTCTTATAGATTTACTCTGGATTATTAAATTTTAATTTGTTTTTGTAACTTTAGATATAACCTGTAAAGCATGATTATGTAGATTAATTTTCTGAAAATCCTTAGCAATGCCCTGACATTACTATACCACAAATTAGCCTTCAGAGTACTTTGAGATATAAATCTTGAAAAGTTATAAATACTACATGTTTATGTTTCTACATATAGCTCTATCTACATGTGTATAAATTGAACTTGTTCGTATTAACATGATGAAATATGGTTTAAAATATATGTCCAAATACATGACCACAAATTTTATAATAAACTTTTTAATGCTACTATAAATTACATTTCATAACAGAGAAATTTATATGATACAATAACATATCAATTTAGTTCAGTTATGAACTTTTTTCTATTAGTTATATTATCTATAAATTTGTATTTATTTTTCCTTCTGTAATGAGCACATTATAAATATGAAACATACCAAGATTTTCTTTGTTTACAATTATTATATCTATTTAATTATTTAAAAGTTCAACAATATAGTTTTAATTTGGTGTGAGCTTGAATATTCCTGGCAAAAATTAAATACATGAAATTGAAGTAAGACAGATTCTCAATATTTGTTACATGAAGGTGATTGGTATTCCAGATTGTGAAGTTTTAAGTAGTAGTCAAAAATGAAAAATAGAAATCCAACCACATTTTAGTAGCAAATTTTTACTCGATATCTTTTAAAAATCTATTTTTTTAGTCTTATAACATCATTGATAATTCCATAGACATAGATATTACAAATTATATTTAGATATGAAAGATTAAAGTGACTGTTAATGCCTTAACATTAAAGATGAAGCTAAAAAAATTCCAGCTTTTTTCATTTTCTAATGCACACCTTGGCTAACTAATTCAGCTATTTTTTTAAAAAGTAATATTTTCCAAAGGCAATAACTTTCAGGATTAGTAACAGTGATTTTGCTGATTTGTTTTTTAAAAATGTGTGTCTTTGCCTCCTGTGTTTTGTTTTGATTTAATCTTTGAAGGTCTACTTAATTATTTTGAAATTTGGTTTTAAGTTTTCCTAGAAACTTTATTTGTTATGACTTATATAGTTGTTTTTTTCTATAATCATGATAACTTAAAGGCTGTTAGAATATTGGTATTAACATTAATATGGCATTAGAAATTAATATGTATAAAATAACATTATATAAGGAAATATTTTACTTAATAAAAGTTGAAGAGAAATTAACAAATTAATTTATAAAAACAAGAACAATTTCAACTTCTCAGCAGTTGAGATTTCTCTTCATTCAAAAGATCCACGGGTTAAAATTAAATCACCTAGTCTCTGCAAAGATTCTAATTTTCTTCTTATTTATAAATCTAATATTTGGAAATAAAGTTATTCATTTGGGTCAATAGTGGAGATGAAAATATAGCGCAATTTTTCTTGAATCAAAATAGTTTACAATAGTATGTTTGGTGCTACAAAGTCTTTTGTTGATACCACTAATTACATGTTTTTCACTTTAAAGTCTTTAAAAGAATATAGGTACAAATTGAATATAGGCATAAACTGACTCAATAAATGTTTTATTATATTAAGTAATTCAAGAAAGCCTATGGATTTAGAAAAATGTTTATAGAAAACTAGTAACATTTGTTACAGAGTTTTCACTTTGGCTAAATACAGAACATTCTGTCTCCCTATATTACTAATTCTCAAATTGAAATTATACAAGCAAATGATGAGATAGAGAACTGTAGCAAAAATATTTTAATTAAAATAACAAATAATTATCTGTATGAGGGTGGACCTAAGCTTTTGTCATGCTCCAATTATATTAGTAGCAACCTTTTCATTTGATAGTCAGACAACAGGGTAATTATAAACATATAATTAAGAAAGTAAAATCTTAACTTATGATGATAATGAAAACAAAGGATGTAGTAAAACCCCATTAAAAGTAGTTATTATAGGATATTACAGGATTATAATTGAATATATCATCTCTACAAATGTATCTAGTAAAGGTCAAACCTTGCAGTATGCTTACTTGTTAAAATACTCTAGAAGACAGATGATAAAGTAAGTCCCAAATCACAAACACAATACAAAATGATTTTTTCCTCATGGGCCTTTTTGCTGGTCCAAAGTTATTGTGAATAGGCATCTGATGAAAGACAATGCTGGAAGGTGACGGAGAATCACTAACCAAAGCTTTAAAGATTGAGACCAGAATTGAGACCTACATTATCACTGCATTTCACCAGATCAAAATGGTTAAAAGTAATGCAATTTGGGGCCAAATGTAAAAGGTAGCATGAATGAAGTTATCATGGTTCTTGAAAGGAAGGGCCTCAAATTGCATTGATGGTCATGAAGCAAGAAACAAATCCAAGCAGGAGCCTTTATCTAAGATGTAAAGGACAGATAGTATTTTGCTTGGTTGACTTGGTTGTCAAGGGTCAAATAAGGTCACTCAGCTGAAAATACACTTGGCCTAATTGTATCACAACACTGGGACTTTCCAGTGCCCCTTTTAAACATTAACTCTTTCTTGGATTTATTAAGCAATATGAATCTTATTAATACTTTTCTTCTTTCTTTGTTGCTGACAAAAATTAACTAAGAGCACCAACAGAACTTGAGATGTCATAGCACCTTTTAGAGTGACACAGACCTCTTTCTTCTTCTTACAAAATCCTCTGCATGGATGAAGTTGGAAAGAGCCTTAGTGAGGTGACTGTCTGATGTCTCAGTGCTGCTCCCAAAGTCGTAGTTCTTCAGGCAAGGGCACAAGCAGTGCACAATGGCCCGACGGATGTAGCTATCAAAGGTATAGTAAATCAGAGGGTTGACACAGCTGTTGGCAAATGCCAAGGGACCACTCACCTCTATCCCGAGCTGAAGAGTAGTTGATGAAAAGTGGTGTTCATGCTTCAACCTAGAAACAATGGCTAGGAGCTTGAAAGTATTAAAGGGCAGCCAGGAGAAGACAAAGGCTGCCACAACAATAAAGATGATCTTCATGGATTTCCTCAGTTTCTTGTTGTGCTTTCCTGATTGCTGGTAGTGAGCACACAGTTTCCTTGTGATGCAACTGTAGCTGGTCACAATGCTCAGCAAGGGGACAAAAAAGGTAAAAATTAAGGTGACTAGACCCCATGTCAGTTTCACTGAAGTGGCTTTCTTCTCTGCACAGTATGGCTTATTTTCAATCAGTGTGAGCTCCCTGGACAGAAGAGTAGGCAACCCTAGAAGGCAGGAGATAAACCAGATGCTGGCACAGACTCCATATGCACAGTCTCTCCTCCTGAATTTCCTGGACATAGCTGGACACATGATGGCCAGGTAGCGGTCAACACTCATGCAAGTGAGCAAGAAGACACTGCAGTGCATGTTGACTGAGATCACGTAAGAACTGCCTTTGCACAGAAAAGAGCCTGTTCGCCACAGTCCTAGAGATGCTTCTTTGTCCACCCAGAGAGGCAATGTGACAAGAAAAATAAAGTCAGAGGCAGCCAGGTTGATGATAAAGATATCAATTAGTCTTCGGCTGCCACGTTTGAAATTCAGTGCACCAATGAGGATGAGGTTGCCCAACACTCCAGTCAGGAACACAACTGTGTAAAAGATGGAAAGGAACACAGATGTGTAAGGAATTGAGGAGTGAGTTTCCTTGATATCAGAGTTCGAGCTGGTAGCATAGTAATAATCCAAATAAACTGAGGTTGTTTCTGGATCCATTTCTGAAGATCTGATGTCAAATCTGGTAAGTTTCCTTACCTGTGATATTTTGGTATGAATTTTAGAACTCTCAAGGGATTTTCTCTTATATAGTCCCCCCCGCCCCCCGCCCCACCTCTCATCTTCTTTTAAAGATCTTGGACAAGTATGAAAACAGATTAAAAAGTGCAGTTTCTACCAATCCTCAGAAAGGGCCCACAAGGAACACCACCTTTGATTGGCGTTGGTTGGTTGTGGTTGTGGTTTTCTTTATTTGTACTTACCCATGAAACTGAGTTACTTTTTTATTCAAGATATTTGAACTGTTTTTCTTAAATCCAGAATTTAAGAAATGAATTAACTTTTTATTCTAACCTCCCATAAAAACTTTTGTTTTTCTGACTGATTTTTTTATCTAGTCTTCTAGAACTGTTTTAGTTTTAGAATTGAAAAATATGATGAAGATACTCTTATTTACACTACTGATGATATGTGAAGAAAATTAATCTTGCATTGAATAAAAAGTGAATTGAAAGTTTTCCATCCTGCACCCATAGTAAACATCATGATTGCAGTTAGGGCATGAGATTCTTTTCATTTGTTTGCTTCTTTCATAAATAATCAACCCTCTGTGATTCAATCCATTTTTAAATCTTCAAAAGGCTAAAATTATGTCTTTCATGTGCTTTTACTATTTCAAATTTTTCATTACAGTTATCATAGCACCATGAACACAGTTTGTGCCTTTGAAATGTTAGATTATTAGGATTAATTCAGAAAATTATTGTTTTGTGATCCTGTATAGTCAGCAGGGATAAATTTGACTCTTAATGTAGGCACTGATGTTATTTATAAAGTTTACAAACATTTAAAAAAGCACAAGCTGCTATTTTTATCCTTAGTCACTATTTTAATTCACTTACTGAAGTTCCCCTTTGTAAGAGTTAACATCCTTTATTGGAGATTTTCTCTATTAACCCTCAAATTACCTTTCATCAGATTCCAGATTCTGATCCTGCACTGTACTTTTTTAGTTGCTGTTGGATAGCTCTAAGCCATGGTTTTTTCATTACATATCAACAAACTTTACTTTTGGAATTGTTGCCGAGGCAATAGATGTAAATATCCATAATAAGTGACATCATAACAAAGCTGCCAGCAAAGGCACTATAAGACAAAGTTTTGATACAATCAAAACACTTGAGAAACAGGTGAAACAGGATTTTATTATGGGTTGTTTACATGTTTCCTCTTTATAAAGATCACCTAAAATGTAATGAATTTGAAATTGATTCTATTGATTTCAATTGTTTACTGGCCAAAGTGACTCAGGGCTCTCTTGTACTCTTGTGTCCTTCTCCCCTTCCCTCCACCTCATTTAATGTCCAATACTCCAGTCTCAAGTTGACATTACCATTGCATAGAAGAATGCATGTAGATAATATTTTTGTTAACCATGTAAAATCCATTCTGCATAGTTTTTATTTGTTCAGTAATTGGTATATTGAAAAGAATGATCCTGCCTGTTGCATTCTTCTCTCCTTCCTGATGTAGTTAATGTCATATCCTCTGACATGAGACAGCACTAAGAAGTCACTTGAGAATTGATACACAAGCTTGATTTGCTTTCTTCTTTGTCCCTGGGTGCTCTATGCGATTCCTTAATTTCATGGGGGGGGGCATATCTTCACTAAATATAGACTACAGATCAGCAAAACTAATTAACAGCTTTGACATTTCTGGGGCAGAAATCTTTCCCACTGGGTAAGCCTTAATTATTTAATAGAATAATTCATTTAGTCAAATAACTTAAAGTAGGGCAATATTTCTTTGAAAAAGATTAATAGAGTAACAGAATATTTAAACACTACATCTATATGTGTATGTATTGAAAAGTACCAACCATATATATTCTTTATTTGTAATTTTACTTTAATATTAGAATTGCAATCAGAAGTTTGTTTGGCGTTTGAAGAAATAAGGTTGATTCTGATCTGAGAAAATTAGGTTGATTCTGATTAGATATGTCTAAAGAATTCAACATAAAATTATAAAAGAGCTCATGCTGATATTCTGGAGGAAAACATTTGACTGTGTCTTCATTATGTAGGCTGTAAATCTTTCAAGTTTCTAAAGTTGCTAGGCTGATGATGTAAACTGTCTCAAGTAAATCTGATCCTCAGCGAATTACTGAAGCAATTATAAAGTAGTTTTCTTTATCATATATATGATATAGTATATATTATATACTATATATGTTTATATATATTTACTATATATTTTTTGATATATTATATCAAAGTATAATATTTACTGGTAAAATGCTACAATATGAGACTATCTATCATAGATCAATTGCATCTGGAGACCCAAATTAGAAAATAAATGAACTGTGTTAAGCCAAAAAAGGAAAAATAACATGGTTCTGGGCTTTTAATAATTCAGCATATAATACTAGCATAAGAGAGGACCCACAATAAATGCTGAACAAATAAAATAGATACAGCAGGGAGGTCATAGTTGTAAGTACGCTAAGTGCAATGGTTAGTTTTAGGACTTTGTATGCCCTTTGAAATACACACATAGATACTAACAATAAAATAATTACTTACATATTGATCAAAACTCAAAACCAACACTGATTTTCATAAGCCTATGAAAAAGCGGTATAAACAGGGTGTTGCCAAAAAATGAAAAATAATGTAAGTATTGGTAACTAAATTATAGCACACAGCCACCTCTTTAAGAATTGTTTTCCTGGAAAAATATTATTTTCTTCACTGACCTCTGACAGAAATAATTGTGTCTGTCTTTGAACTTTTAAAATACTGTTTATAAAATGATTATTATCTCATTTCACACATTTATTTGTCTTGCTATCTCACCCCCTGAGCTGATCATGACCTACTGAAAGGCAGAGCCCATCTTTTCTCTCTCTACTGCCCTGTAGCAATCAGCAGTCACCCAACCAGTCCTTGACTTTCAAAGCCATTGTTTTGAACTTGTAGATGCCTGACAATATTATTCATTTTAGAGTCACCTGGGAAACCTATTATGGCTCCCAAACTCTGTCCTAGATCCACTGAAACAAAATCACTGGGGGAAGATGGAGTCTAGGACTTTATATTAAGCAAGCCTCTAAGGTGAGACTTACATACACTATTTAGAATTATAATTTGTATTTACATAAATTAACCAACATGATATATTATGTTTTGCTATTACTTTGGCTACTTTTTTTTATTAATATTATTTTTTTCTTTGGCTACTATTTTTAAGTTTAAAGTTACATCAGAATTTGAAACTTGTGGGGCCGGGGATTTAGCTCAGTGTCATTGCTCCTGCCTTGTAAGTGCAAGGTCCTGAGTTCGATATCTGGTATTAAAAAAAAAATTGAAACTTGTGGAAGTCTTTTAGCATGGATCTCACACTTTAAAAGTTAATTGGATTTCTATGCCCTATTCATTTTATGTTCCAATCCTAAAATATGTTTAGAACTTGATCAGATGTTGAAGATGAACAAAGCATGTTTTCTCTATTGAGACATTTGCTCAAGTAACTCATATTTACTTAGATATCAAAGATGTTGCCTACTATGATGTGGCTGTAGTTATGTCTTGAAGCCTCTGTTTCATACACAGGATGAAGATTTTGTGATAATGGAGTCACTCAATTGGGTGTAATCCTTAGAGATATGATTATATTACTTTGGCTTCTTTTCTGTCACTAATTCTGACCCTTATAACAAGTAGAAAGTAGATCATCACATTATATGTACACAGAAATCCCTCATTTGCTCATACAGATTCTGCTTATATGTCCAGAATAAATGGCAAAGAGCACACAGCAAATTATTTCTCAGTGATCTAATCAGGCAGACAGTATGATTTGTTAGCTACACTCTCTTGTCCATGTTTTGAGGGTCATAAAATGTGTGATCATTTAAATGGTTCCATTTAAGAAAATTGTTTATATTCCAAAAGTTTAATTATTGTGTTTTATCCTCTCAGGTATTTGGGGCATTTAGTACTATAATTTAATATCATATCATGCCAAATAAGTGGCACATTTTCACTGTTATCAGTATTCACCCTCTTCCTCACTTAATTTATTGATTATTCCCCTTGTTAATTCATATTTATTTAGATACCAATGATGTTATTATTCAAGAAACTTATACTTTAAGATTCTTCCGAATAGTAGATTTAATCTGGGTGCATACTATGCACAACAAAAATTGTTTCTATATGTTGGTGTTCCTGGCAACCCAGCACAGTGTCTGCCATGTGATAGATGGCCAGTAAGTGTTTGACAACCTGGACTGAATCATGCTTGAATTCTGAGTAATTCCCAGCGCATTCAAACTTTTCACAAACTTGGACAGCTTCCATTTTCTATCCAATCCTGGGATCTTTATCACATCCTAAACTAATATGAAGGGCTTTCTAAATTAGCATAGCATATCTTTTGGTACCGGGGATTGAACACGGGACCTTGTGCTTGCAAGGCAGGCACTAGAACCACTGAGCTAAATCCCCGGCCCTATAGCATATCTTTTAATTAGTTATAGTAACACTTTTACTTAGCATATCTTGTTTTTTTTTTTCTAGTACTCAAAATTGAACTCGGGACCTTGTGCTTGCCAGCCAGGCGCGGCACCACTGAGCTAAGTTCCCGGCCCCAGCACATCTTAAGTCAGAAGCAATTCACAAGCCAGAAAATATGAAAGTACCTTTATCATGGCCTCGTAATGAATTTGAAAGATTGTGCTTGGGAGGAATAGAGAAAGACACTCACTCATTTAGTTTATAAATGATGAAATTAATTGATCACATTAGTTCCTTATCTGCAATAAAGATTATTTTAAAAGATTTTGTTTGGGGTTCAACATTTTCATTTATAACTTTTTATAATAAATGACAATTAGAAAAGGTCAAGAAAATCTTTCTGTAATTTCTATCTTCCTTGTGATTGCTGTTTATCTTTGAAACAGAAAAGGATAAGTTGCTGTTTATTTTCTAATCAGAATGCAGATAGTTTTCCTACCTTTCCTCTGTCCATTTGCATTTTCTGTTATCTCTGCTTCTTGTACACTTCCCTGGCTATAGATGTTGTATACACAGATTCCCTAATGAAACTCTAATGCCCTGAATCTATGACAACCACATTTTGTAGTTACCTTGTTCTTACAGAATTTTGAAACATAAAATTTTAGAACTTCAAGTGATCCTAGTGATTACTAGTACAACTATTTTCCTAATGAGTTCACAGAGGCCCAGAAAGAAGTCATTTATCAAAGACCCACAGTGATGATTTTCAAATAAATGACAATTTGTATATAAATTTATCATTTACATATAATCATTCCATGTTTTTCAGAAGCATGAACATTCAAACAAGTAGTTTGTTAAACAGTGAGGCACTTGACAGGAATTGCCAAACGAAAAGAGCCATTTTAGTTGGTTTTTTAATTTGATTTTTCCTAAGATTTTCTATTGTTCTGTAGTGAATAGGTAGAAGGAAATTTAAGGACTGACAGAGTGTTTTGAGGATAGTTTTGGCTGAAACTCAGAGCTTGTCTGTATTTCTGATTTCCTTCTTATCTGAACTCCAAAGTCCCTAAGGAAAACAATTAGGACAAAATATATAAGAAAACCATAATGTAGATATATCTTACTCTATATTTTTTCTAACAAGAACAATTAAAATAGAATTATAATTAAGTATGTTAGGGAATTTGGTATTGAAAGAAATTCTCATGTGAAGAGTTGTTTCATAAACACAAAATAAAAACAAGTTATAATATCTGAATATCTAATTTTCAGTTATTGGGTTTAAGATGTAATGCAATTATAGCACCTTCCTGCTGAAATTAAAAACATCTTTAACAAATTAAACTAGAAGCCTAGTCCAACTTTTGCTTCTAAACCTAAATTCCATAATCTGTACTTGGTTGCACTAAAACCATCTCTAAATTTTGTGAAGATATATAACAGCAGCTACTCTTTCTTGAATAGTAAAGAGAAACAAGCAGAAATTTAGCTCCATTAATTTATTAAGGGTTTATTTTACATATGTTAGTACAAGTAGAAATTATAAAATATCAAAGATGCAGAGATAAATCAAAAATATGGTTGTATGGTTGCTGGAACTGGGTGTGAAGAGGCAGTTCAGGTTTTCTGTGCTTAGATGGTCAAGATGGTCAAAACCTCAGACATACGGACACTTTCATATCAAAACTAGGTTGGTGATTAAATTTTGCCCTGTGTGTTTTGTAGGCTTTCTAGAGACTTGAAGGGTGAAAGCACCATTGTCCTTTACAGAAACATCTACCTTCTGGAGTTACGATGAGTTATGCAAGATATGAGCTAGAGCCTTGGAATTTCCTGAGCAGGACTAAGCAAGAGCGGAAATGCTGCCCTGGCTTGTCTTTCCCATTCATTTGGCAGTTACTTCAGAGATTCATAAACCAGCTGTAGTGAACAAGGACATCTATGTGTCTTATTCAGCCTCCAGGGGGGCAATCCAGGAGTTTTCAAGACCTGTTTATACTGACCTTAGTAAAACATTATAAGTATTCAACAAATATTTTCAAATAATAATAATTTAATGATTCTTAACTAACCCTCAGATCCTGTAGTAGGCATATTGTATGTATTTCCTCCTTTAATCTTCACAATGATTATGTGAGATAGTTGCTATTGTCAAAAATCCATATTTTGGTGGGCCTGGTGGTATATTCCTGTAGTCTTATCTTCTCAGGAACCTGGGGGCAGGGAGAACTGCTTAAGCCTAGGATCAGCCTGGAAAACAAAATAGGACCCTTTTCAAAAAAATTTCCATATATTATAAATTTAAAAAGACAACCAAGACTAAAAGATGGCAAAGTAAATTTTCCAAAGTCACAAAACTAAACTAACTCCAATATTCAGGTTTGCTAAGTCAAATATGAGGTTGTTTCTTCCTTTCTCCTAGCTTCCTATTTATCTGGGTTTATTGACCATGTGACCTCACTGGTGAGGTAGACTCAAAAGTAGAGGATTTCAAATGAAGCCCAACAGACGGAAAAATATCCTGGTGCATAAATGCATCCATGAGCCTTCTTGTACATTGAGCATTTGCATTTTTCCCAGCTGATGACTTTGACAAAATTCGTTTGATTAGATGTTCTATGTGAAAATGCACATATTTGAATATTATGATATAATTGTTTTGTTTTTTTTTCGGTACCGGGGATCGAACTTGGGTCCTTGCGCTTGCGAGGCAGGTGGCGGAATCACTGAGCTAAATCCCCAGCCCTACTTGCTTATTTTTATTATGCATTATATATGAGCATCAGTTCACCAACTCAGGTGAACTACAGATAGAACAATAAGTATCATGCCTTCAGTCTGTTAGGGTGGTAGAAATCTGAACTCAACTTGGGGTTCCCACCTTTCTCCTGTGCAGAGGCTAAGTTCCAAGGCATAAGAGGGTAGGGAGGGACTTGAGGAACTCCCCTGGTCCTTGAGTCCACTGTCTTCGCAGGTATCTATTGAGAAGCCCATGCTTTTCTGGTCCTGGGCCACATTCATGTTTCTACACATGTTATTGCTAAGGTGTCCCTGATGTCCCTTGTCTGTCCCCATATGATGCCCTGTGCCACTACCAGATACCATCAGTGCGAAGTCCATTATCAGATACAGCCCTTTGATCTTGGACTAGAACTGTAACCAAAGAAAACTTTTAAAAATAATTTAAGACAAAACTAAAAAAACTGTCCCTGCCTCCTGTTCACAAATTTCCACATAATACCTAGAGTTATTCTGTTGCTTCTTTTCCACACATCATCTGCAGTGTTGCATATTGTCCAAGATCTTGTCTGCTGGAAGTGATGTCCTCTAAACTTCAGTCTTTTTCACACTATATTCACAAGTTTTATTCAGTTTTGATATATCTTCTATCCTCTATATTTAAAATTTTTTTTTTTTTTGGTCCCGGGAATCGAACTTGGGACCTTGCACTTGCGAGGCAGGAGGCAGAACCACTGAACTAAATCCCTGGCCCTTTAATGTTTTTAAAATCAATTAAAATATATTTTAAAAGTAAACTCTGCTACAATAGAAAACGAGTATCACTTGTCATACAGCCACAATGGAATTTTATGAAACCCGAATAAAGTCGTCATATTCTAGAAGGATACTATCTGCCAGGTCACATCCTTCCTCGTTTAAATTTAAGTAAGCAAACCAGATTATCTGCTCTATTGGGAGTAAGGTTGTGTGAGAGGTGGAAAGGGAGGACTAACATTTCAAAAGAATTCTATTGCTGTTCTTATATACGGTACTTACATATATTGGCAAGATGGTGCGATGCGGACAGCACAGGATTAAAAGTAAGACTGAGTTATAGAGGTCACAATTATTGGCTAGTGGCGACCAGAGACAGGTCGCCTTACGTTCTGCATCTCTCTCTTGACTCCTGAGCTTTAAGAACAAACGCCTACCTCCGCCTGGCTGGCCGCTCTCCCTTTTGAGGGAACTACTATCCCCACAATGCCTCGCGCGGCGCCAGGCATGCCGGGTACTACCTCCCCCCCTTTTCTCTGCGTCGGTCCTACAACTCCCACAACCCCTCTCGGCCTCGGGCCACGGCCCGGCTTGTAGTGGAGGAGGCGGAGGCGCGGGAGTTATGGAGGGGGCGGGCTCTGCAGGGAAGTGCGTCAGAAGAGGCGCGGGGAGAATAGGGTGCTGTGGTCCAAACTAGGAGGTGAAGCTGGTGGAGCAAGAGGATGGGCGGTGAGTGAGTGTGACCGGCGTCGCTGGCTGAAGGCCGCGTAGCCTGTCGGCTTCCCGGCGGTTTAAAGAGGGGCTCTTTTCCGTAGGCTGGGCGGTTTAGAGCGGCGAGCTTGACGGGGAATTTTCTTTGGCCTAATGGTCTGGGGTGGGCCTGGTCGGTACCGGGGGCCCCAGCTGGGGGCGCGCTGGGCTGCCCCGCCCCAGCCGCTCGTGCCTCGGTCTCCTTCACCTCCGCCTCCCAATCAGCGAGGTGGCAGCGCCAGGCGTCCGCCCAGCCGCTGTTCCCGATGCTGGGATCTATTAAGGTCATTTGAGAGCACCGAGATGAAAAAGAATTTTTAAAAAACCAAAATATAAACCCAACTTCTTGAGTTATCGTTAATTATTATAATTGCCCTGATCTTCCCCGAGTCACTTCCCGTCTTGCAAACTCCCGGGACCCCAGTTTCCGAGCCTGTTTTCGTGCACCTTTGTAAGGTGTTTGGTGTGGTCATGGTATATACTTGGCAATATTTGACTCAGCGTGATCCGCATTTGAGTCATTTTGCCGCGGCCATTTACTACTGCCAAAGAGCCCTTGACCACACCTAGAGAGTGTTCATATTTTGCTTAATTCAGTTTTCTCTTTCTGAGAAGGGATCATTTAGTTTCTGTGGATATATGTAGGCTTTAGGGAGAGGACAAGGTTGCACTTGAGGTTCAGAAGTATCGTATGAGGAATGGGAACAGTAGTGAAAATTTGGCAATGTGAAGAAGCTTGGCTTAGTTTTAATGAATTGGAAGAGATTTACATCCAGTGTTATTGTATGTTATTGTTCTTTTTCCTGCTTCATACATCTAGAACTACCTTTCCCTCTGGATTAACCTCTTCAACTCAGGCTTCCAAATGGCTCCTGACTTTCTGTCCTTGTTTCTGGATACTTCCCCCTGCGGAGGAAACGGAGGAGCGGATTTCCAGTGCTTGCTCTGCCTGTGCCTTTTTTCCCATTCATACCCAGAACACTAACACTCTACTGCTTGTGTGAAAATTTAGTCTGTAATTAAAAATGTGTGCACGGTGCATTGCTGACCACGGGCATGTCTGTTTTTTGTATCGGTAATGTGTATGTCCATTTCAGTGTTGTCTGTTTTAGTATGCAGGTGATAGACTAGAGAACAAGACTTCTGTCTCCGTAGCATCTTGGGTATGTGAGCATTTAATAAGTATTCTCATAATAATGAGTTTTGTTTTAAACTTAATGTTTGCTTTTTTAAAAAAAAATTCCTTAGTGATTATATATTGCTTTAAAGAACCAAGGGATGGGGGATAGGATAAAGGATGGTTTCAAGAGAAGTTCTTTCAAAATAATCTTGTTTGTGGAGTCTAATCTTCTTTCTTCAACTTTAAACAGAGCAGTCTGAATGCCAGAATGGATAACCGTTTTGCTACAGCATTTGTAATTGCTTGTGTGCTTAGCCTCATTTCCACCATCTACATGGCAGCCTCAATTGGCACAGACTTCTGGTATGAATATCGAAGTCCAGTTCAAGAAAATTCAAGTGATTTGAATAAAAGCATCTGGGAAGAGTTCAATGCTGATGAGGCAGATGAAAAGACTTATAATGATGCACTTTTCCGATATAATGGCACAGTGGGATTGTGGAGACGGTGTATCACCGTGCCCAAAAACACACACTGGTATACTCCATCAGAAAGAACAGGTATTCCTCTATTTCAAATTCTCTCTTTAACTACTCACAGATAAACAAAATGCCCTAATGACTGTCCAGTTATGTACAGGTTGTGAATTCTTTTCCTCCCCAAGAAGTAAATCTTAGGCATCTTTGCCTATCACCTTTTCTCCCTACCTTCCGAGCATTACCATAGTATTAATTAATATTGATTGGATAAGTAACTTAGGAAAGCCATTTTACATCTCTGTACTTACGTATTCACTTATTAAAATGCTTTTTATTCTCATGTGTCATAAGGAAATAGTTGGAACAGGTACATGAAAAGACTTTAAATATTAATTGGTAAAAGAACTGGTATCAAATCAAGAAATATGAACTTTTAGCAGTGTTATAGTAAATATTTCATGTGCCTTTGTATCTTAGGGTTCATAATTTGAATGACTGCATTTAAATCTATATATGAGATGTGATCAAAAAATATGATGAATGTTTAAATTTTTAAAAAATTTGTTAAAGGAAAAGACATTGCCATTAAAACATTCCCCTACTGCGAACACACTTATTCCGTTGTTCTTGCCACTTTCTGAAGGAAGTTCTCTTACATAAGTATCTTTAGTTACATTGTTCTGACTGCCTCAAAGTCTTGAAACTATTCAAAACATTTATACTTCAAGGTCATTTCTACTTTAGAAAGGAGCCAGAAGTCACAAGGTGCCAGATCTGATGAATAAGGAGGATGAGAAAACATATAGTAATGTTTTTACAAGCCTGCCTTTCTGTTGAATGGCACATGGCAGCAGCATTTACTGTGTTTTTGATCAGACCTCTTAAAGACACTCAGGATAGAGGACTTCCAGAACTGTTTCAAAAAGTGGTGAAAACAATGGGACAAGTGAGGGAATATTTTGAGGAAGATTAATAGCAATATATATTTTATTGTAATAATTTCTTTATTTAAATATTCACCATATATTGTGATCACCGCTTGTATCTGAAACAGTTTTACAGCAATTTTGATGTAGAGTTTGTAGGTTAAAATTTGTGTTACAGAAGAAGAATCTTAGTTGTTATTTTGCAAGCATTCTTATTTAAAGAGTTATTAAATAGTTATTAAATTGGTAGCCGTAGTGCCCATTGTAAGGAAGAAATTTCACAGTTTTATTTAAGATTATTTCTGTTGGCTTCTGGTGATAAATCATTGTGTTCAAACACTAGCAGAACAAGCTTGAGTTACCATTACATCAAAAGAATGATAGTATGTCATTATGTATGAAAAAAGGTAGTATGCAAAGAAAGGAAAGTTTGTTAAAATTTATTGTAAAATGTTAAGTTCTAATTATGAGGGTATAGGTGTGTTTGATATTGGAATTTTACCAGTTATTTAGTGATTCATTCAACAAATAATTATTGCACGCCTCAGTGTTCCATGGGCCTCGATTTAGAAAACAAATTTTTATTCTTGAGATAGCATTCTAATAAGGGGTGACAAGCAATAAATATAAGTACAACTATATAAACAATAAATAAGTACATAATATGTTAAAAGATGACACATGCTATTGAAAAGTAGAGAAAAAAATAAAAGGGATTTGGAAATACAAGGGGAAGGGAATATTGGTGGGCATAGGTTAGGAGTTTGAATAGCATAGTCAGGATAGGCCTCATCGAGAAAACACTACTTGAGTACAGATCTGATGTGGGTAAACTACGAAGGAGTTGGCCATATGGGCAGTCAGAGGATCATGTAGCTTAAAGGAAACAGCTACTGCCGAGGCCCTTTAGCAGGAGCATACCTGAAATATTCAAGGATCAGTAAGATAGCTACTGGGTTGTAATAGCAGGAGAGAGAAGAGAGTCGCTATAGTGTATTGTTAGATATGCAGGACTTTTAGGTATCACAGAGACTCTGGTTTTTACTGTGACTACAATGGAGAGCCACTGAGGAGTGTTGAGCAGTGGAGAGACATTATCTGGTCACCCTGGATGTGATGAGAACACATAAACATCAGGCAGTGGTAGAAGCTAGGGAATTGGTTAGGAGATAATTGCAGTGATTCAGGTGAGAGATGATTATACAGTAAATCAGATCGGTCTAGTAGCACCGAGTGGCAGCTGCATCCTGAATATTTCGATGGAAGAACCTTAGGATTTTTTGTTAGAATGTATATGCTCAGGAATGGGTCTAAAGTTCCTGCTCTGAGGAATTGGAAGGATGGAACTGCCCTCTGAAATGGGGATCATAGCTGGTAGAACAGGTTTAAGGGAAAAGATCAAAGTTTTTATTTCACTCTTCATCCCCTCCTCCTGCTTCTCAGTCTTTTTACATATCCTTTTTTTTTTTAAGCAAGAAGCAGAGCTCCAACTTTTATTATATATGAACATTTATTTTGATTGGATGACCATCTTAAGGAATATACAGTATACTTTGGAATTGTTTCATATATTTTGATATATTAATCAGGAAGATTATGTAGTTGTCTTAACAATAGTCTTAAGTAGCATCGTTAAGTGACATTTTAGGGTTTATTGTATATTATATTACAGTTTTATCGTTTATGGTAAAATTACCCTACTATGTTTTTTTGGGGGTTTTTTTGAGGTTAAAAGTAGGAAGATATTTATTGATAGGAAAGCTCTTGAGGGGCAGGAGGTGTCCTGAGCGGGTAGCCCTCTTACATATCTATTCTGCCACCTGTTTTGTTGCTCCTACTTTTTTTTTTTTCTCCTTCCTGGTGCCTATATCTTTAGCCTTTCTGAGAACCAGTGGCATGCATCAGGCATCAGAGAGACCTGTGTTGTCAGAGCCAGTGAGATTTCTTATTTGCTTGAACATCTCCATCATTTTTTCTTTTGGAAGATAATTACTGAAAGAAAGTATTGTGAAGTGTTTATAATGAGAACAATAAGCAATCATTGTTCTTGTTCCAGAGTCATTTGATGTTACAAAATGCATGAGTTTCACACTAAATGAGCAGTTCATGGAGAAATTTGTTGATCCTGGAAACCACAATAGTGGAATTGATCTACTTCGGACCTGTGAGTACTTTGATCTCAGTAGGACAATTGGAGAGAAAAGGAAATAATTTTATCTGTGGTTACTTGTATTCTAATTTTGGAACCTGATGTATTAGTAGCTAGTGTCAATTTGTTCTCTATTTAGGTAGTCCAATGAAGTCTGTTCTTATTGATACTATATTTTAGAAGGTAGAAATGTACTTAACAGATTTCAGATAGTTTTAAGTTGAGGGAGTCAGTTAATACATTGACTGATGCGAGTCCAGACCTCCAAAAGACATTATTGATGGTCCCGATTAAGAGGAAATTTAATAAGGATAAATAATAAATTCCTGTACTTAAGTTAAACACTTCCGTTGGTGAGGTTTGGATAGGCATATGTGGAAAAAATTGCAAGCTCTGACTAGGTTACTGAGTATCAGGCCTGTTCATCCAAACTTAGATGGTAGTCAGTCACAAAAATGAAATGAAGATGTCAAAAAAACTATTTATTACAAACACTTTTTTCCTTGATAGTCAGGCTGCCACTGTCTCAGATTTAACCCTCAATTTTTAGGGCCATAGAGACTTACTGGAATTTGCCTGGAAGAACAACCATATTATTTAAAAAAAATTTGAATAACTACAGGTATTTAATTTTGCAATGAAAATGGATAGGAAAAAGTTATTATTAGCAGAGTTTGAAGGGAACTGAAGAAAAAAAAAACTTTGATGAAGTACCAGAAAGCAGTACCATCACCGAAAGGTAGAATTTGGTTAAATTTGATACTAATAGATTACTAATAATTAAAATTATCTGAAAATGCAGTGAAATGCTTTGTGAGGCCATCAACTTTCTTCCCATGTTGATAAGAGAATTTTTGATAATTAGAACTTCTGTTAAGCACCGAGTATATTTCAGATTCACTGCATTGTGCTTTATGCATTTCCTTCAACAGCCCTGCAAGATAGGTCTTTATAAACACCAATTCTTTACTTGTTTTTACTCCCTTCAAATTCTGAAATGTCTAAAATAATGTCTATATGCCGTTGTAAACTATTTGTTGCCTCAGATCCTGACTCATCCACTTATTTTCTTTGTATAAATTATTTATGCTTGTTTCAATTTCTTTAATTATAAAATAAAAATAGTACTCAATAGTAGGAGTTGTTGGGAGGATTAATTTGCAAAGCATGTATGTGTACAACAAGCAGTATATGGCACATTCCAAGGCTTTGGTAATTGTTTCTTGTTAGTGGATTTTTGCTTTGTTTTTTCAGGGCAAAACATCCTTTTGAACAATCTAATTTAGAAAAGAACCCTCAATTTTAAAACATTTCTCTCTCATTTTTTGAGAGATCTAATTACAGTATGAAAGAAATTGCCAGTGTAGAAAAATGGTCTGAAATCATGGTGACATGTCTTTTCTTTCTTTCTCTTTTAAAACCAGATCTTTGGCGTTGCCAGTTCCTTTTACCTTTTGTTAGTCTAGGTTTGATGTGCTTTGGGGCTTTAATTGGACTTTGTGCTTGTATCTGCCGAAGCTTATATCCCACGATTGCCACGGGCATTCTCCATCTCCTTGCTGGTGAGTCTTGTATTCTACTTAACTTTTAACTTCTGTCTGTCTCCTTAGGGACCACAGAGTTAAATTTGATAAAGATTCACATATTACTGCAATGTCATGTTGCCTGAAAAGCTCTCTACTGTGCTTTTATGGAGTCATGTTTTATTTTCTAAATTTTCCCTCAAGGTCTGTGTACACTGGGCTCAGTAAGTTGTTATGTTGCTGGAATTGAACTTCTCCACCAGAAACTAGAGCTGCCTGAGAATGTATCCGGTGAATTTGGATGGTCCTTCTGCCTGGCTTGCGTCTCGGCTCCCTTACAGTTCATGGCTTCAGCTCTCTTTATCTGGGCTGCTCATACCAATCGGAAAGAGTACACCTTAATGAAAGCATATCGCGTGGCATGAATGGGAAATTGCCTGTTTTACCATTGCTATTTTTAATATTTTTTAATATTCATAATTCCCTTGCCTCCCAATTGTTTTTAATTTAATTTTTTGTGAATATATCACTTTATCCTGAAAATCGATTTTATTTATACACCCTACTAAATGTGCACTTAATAACACCAGAATTTATGTGGTTTACTCTGAGTGATTTCATCCTTTCAAACAAACCAGTCAGCATCAACCTCTAGACAGAAAGAAGTAGATAGAGTTGACATAAATTTATGAAAGAAAATTGAAAGTGCAAAATTGACCCAGAACAGGTTTTGCTGATGTCTCTTTTAGACTTTCTGGTATAAGTAAAGTATCTCCATCTGTTGAACTAGAAACTAATTTCTTTGGGAAACTTCTTATGAATGTTAAAAACATACTTACTTTACTTTTGTAGTCAGCTAGTGGTATTAGTGTTACTTTCAGAAACTTAAGCTCCATAAAATTGGGAAATTATCTATGATCTTTTTCCCTAAACTTTGGCACATACCTTCATCTAAGGTGAAATATGGTAGCTGTTTATATTTACAGTGTCTCTACAAGAAAAGAAGAAGTGAAAAAATGTAGTGTTTACGTGAAATTTTAATTTTGTAACTGCAAAAGTTCCAATTCAGCCAGATAAGTGAATTAATCTTAATTTATTTTATTAGTTTTTAAAATCTCATTAGGATTTTCAGTACCACCAAACCATTTTGAATTTTGCTCCTTCTTATATACCAGGTTTATTAAAAGAGTGCTTTCTTGTTTTTGTTTTTTGTTTTTTTGTTTTTTGGTACCGGGGATCGAATTTGGGTCCTTGCGCTTGCACGGCAGGCAGTGAAACCACTGAGCTAAATCCCCGGCCCAAGAGTGCTTTCTTTTTAACAGTAGGATTTCTAAGTAAAATCTCCAACAGTTTTCTGTTTATTCCAATTAAGTATCACAAAGTTCTACTGTAATGACACTCCAGAGCTGGGAATACTACCACAAGATCTAAAGCTGTGGCTGTCCATTAACCTCCAACTATAGTCTTTATTTCTTGTGGTGAAATGATGTGCCTTTCCTTGCCTAAATCCCTTCCCTGGTCTATCAACATTATATAGTGTCTTCTAATTCAGTCATTTTTTATAAATGTCTATAAACATTGAAGTTTTAAAAATCTTATTTATTTATTCCATACTGTAGCATTTGACATATTAAAAAAAATGTAACAGTAATTTCTTACCATATCCTAAATCTGTTTTTTTTTTACAAAATAAAAACGAGAAGAGACCCAGAGATTTGTGTATAGTGTCTGAATTGATTTAAATCTCAGTGAATTAAAATAATGGGAGATCTTTGTGGTTCTCTGTGGAAAATTCATTAATACTCTGCAAGCCTAACTTTATGTCTTGTGTTTGGATTTATCTTCCAGAAAATGTGGCAACTGTTTACCCCTATTAGAAAATGAGAGGTTTTTTTTTATGTTTCAGAATTTTAAAACTAGTTTTAAAATTAGTTTTTTGATTTCTATACTTAACATGACTAGTTTCCTATAAAAAGTCATTTAATGGTCATAGATGTTTGTGTTTTATAGTAAAGAAGTAAGTCAGCTTCTGACTTGTGACAGTCAGCATTACTCTGTAGCCAGGTGCTTGTGAAATGGCTGATTACCTAGATAGATGTCTAATTTCCCTTTTTGTTTGTTTTGTTTTGTTTGGTACTGGGCCCTCTGATTTTTAAAACAGTACTGGGGATTGAACATACAGAGTGATAAAATACATCCTCAGCCCTTTTTAAAAAATTTTATTTTGAGATAGGGTCCTGCTAAGTTGCCTAAGCTGACCTCAAATTTGTGAACCACCTCCTTCACCCTCTTCCAGTAACTAGAATTAAAGGGGTGTGTGAACCATTGGGTCAGGCAGGTTTCTACCTATTTCTCCCTATCCTTAACTCTTGAAGTTTCATTGATTTACAGCACCTTCTGTGGCAGGTGGATAGGAGAAAAGCTAAGTGAACAAAAAACATTTAAGAATGGGATTTAAAAATTGTTGGCAGTATGACGTTTGTATTAGAAAGTTGTTTTAAATACCTGTCCTTGCCTTTTACTCCCAGAGTTATCTTCATAAGTGTCTATAAACCATACTTTAATGTAAACTGGGAAGCAGAATTGCATTTTTGGATTATATATCCTTACCAGTAGTACTTTTAAATTTGGAAAGCTAGTACTATAATCCTTATGCTGAATATGTGTTGTAATTAGTATTTTTAGTCCAATGTAGTGTCTGAGGTCACCCTCTCTTGCAAAGACTTGTCTGTATTAATACATAGGGCTGTGTTGTTTAATGTAAAAACAGTTTTTCTAAGGCTAAACCATATGAAATCACTCAGACAATCATTTTGATCAATCATACCTAAAGTCAGTGGAAAGGTAAATCATCTTAATCTCCATTGAATTTTTGAAAGCAACCCCCAAAGTAAAAGAATTCCAGACTTCATTTTGGACATAAGTTATGACAACTGAAAAAATATGCTTTAAGACCTTGATTTATAGTTTCTAATGAAATGATATGGACAATATGGATAAAATGAGTCTTTTTTAGCAAAAGACATTTCAAAGTTGGTATAAAAAAGGCAGAATAATTCTAGAATTTATTTGGATAACACCAAGTGTGCCTACTATCTATATCACAATACACTACAGTAATGTGTTAAAAAATAACACCTAAGTATCAGTGTGTATATTAGGAGGGAGGGTAGTTAATAACTCAGATGAATTCATTTAGTAGTGTGATTGAGAAGAGTGAGATGATAATTTAACAAACCTAGAGTTTTTTCATTCCAGAAAGAAATATCACAAAATTGCAGTCTTAGCATTATTATAACTTGTAGATCCGGTCATATTCAGTTGACTGTAAGATGTGTAGTATGAGAGCATTTTAATGTTTAATTCTTATGTAAGCTATCATGTAAAATAAAAACTTGTTGAATTAACTCAATTTAGCCAACTCAACACTTACTGAAGTTTTCAACTAATGGGTGCAACTCTTGATTAGTTCACAGGCTAGATGTGACTGCTGGCATACGTGGGTGGAATCTTTTATCTTCCTTTCCCCTCTCTTCTCACAGAATAACTTATACCATGAAAACCAGAATAAAACAAGGGAACACATCCTATGTATATGAATTCTTTCTGTTCATCAGATGTTGTGACACATATTTTAATGAAATGTGTTTTTTCTTAGGTTCAAATTACAGATAAATGCCGGTGTCCTCTTGAATAAGTTTTGTGAAAATCCTAACCTGCAAACTGAATGAGAATGATTATTTGTTCTGTAGAAGTTACTGTTACTGGCAAAATTAATACACTACTTGACATATAAACATGTACACACTTTCAGCAAACTTAGGTAAAGCACAATCTAATTTATATTACCTTATCTACCTTTGCAGAGGTTTAGAAATGTGCAATAAGGAGAGAATCTTCTTTCTTTTTTGTCTTCATCCTTTAAAATATCTGTGTCTCTGAGTCATGCATCCATCACCTTTTATCTACTGACTTGATGTGTCTCAGGCTGTGAACTTTATTTACCTGTCCTGCAACTTTTCAGTCCCTCCCAGGTTGTGATCCTTCTGTTCTCATTTTTCTTTACTTAAGCTTATCTTACCATCATATATACACAAACATTGATTATCTTGCTCCTATATCTCCCATAGTGCTTTCCCTCACAATCTTTTGCCTTATTTTCATAGGCATGCTGTCTAGTTTTCTATTTCCAATCTGGAAATACCAAAGATCCCCTTTCAAAATTAAAAGCAGGTTCTATAAAAAATTATGCTATCTGTTCTTAACTGCTTCACTAGTCTAATCATCTGATGATTTATTACTCTACTACATTTTATAAATCATAAAAAAGTTCTGAGAAACTTATTCTTCCTCCTCAACTTCCATGGAAGGAACTTACACTCTCCTGAAGAAGGGAATATTGCAATGAACTCTTGTATTGTCTACAACCCTTATTTAGTCCTCTCTATAAAAGAAGGATGAATTACCTGATTGGAGTGATTGCTGATATCAGCAACTACTGGAGCACCATGGTGTATGGTAGTTAAGTATCCTAGTTGGAAGACAATGATAAATTGTAATCCTAAATCTGTCTCAGCCTTTCCAAGCCCCACTTTTCATCTGTAAAATGTTATGATTAGCATACCTGCCTCATGGAGTTGTGATAAAGATTATGTAAATTACTCATCATAAAATAGCCACTCAAAAATGCTAGTTTCTACCAGTTGCATTACAAGGGATTACCCAGCCTGTAAAATGGTTCTCAGCCTAGGTTGCATGTTGGAATTTCCTGGATAACTAAAAATTTTGTACTTATATCTCAGAGAATCTGATTTAATTGGCCTTTAATTTTAAGGCCAGGGATGTGGTTGGGTTGTAATTTTTTAAACTTTTATAAGTGATCAAGTGATTCTAGTGGGGAAGCATGTTTGAAAGCTACTTTTGTTTGTTTTTGTGATTCTTGGGACTGAACCCAGGGCCTTCATACTACATCACCAATCCTTTTTTCTTTTGAGACAGGGTCTTGCAAGTTATCCAGGCTGGGCTCAAATCTAGGATTCTCTTGCCTCAGCCTCCCAGAGTGCTCAGATTACAAGCATGCACCACCATGTGAAAGCTACTTTTAAAAGCAAGAAATGGGGTTTTGTCTCTTACAGATTGTTAGAGACAACAGAGTAAATAGATGTGGCACAGTGCCTGCCTTCTAGAAGCCATTTTTCTCCTGTGCTTTCCAAGTTTCTTCTGCTGCTCACTGGCCCTTTTACAAAGATCCCTGTCCATCATACCACTGCTGTATGGTGTCTACCAGCTGGCCCAGTACAGTCCAGTGCCAGTCATAAGGCTCAGATTTGGGAGGAAGTAATAAAGTCTTTGTTTTGGCCTCAATTCTGAATTATAGTAGTCCCTATTTATATATGGATGGCTGAAACTGCTGCTAGTACAAAATGCTATCTATATACTGTTTTCCCCCATACACAACCTCTGGTAAAATTTAATTTAGAAATTAAAGAATAATAAATTACTATGGATCTATATCTATAATAAAAGTTAACTGAATGTGGTCTCTCAAAATAATAACTTTGGACTCTAGGTTGAAAAAACCAAAAAACAAGGAAAACAAAACGATGGCTAAGGGAGGGTATTGTGTGTTTTCTAGTAGTTACAGACATCCCGTAGCTTGGGTTGATTAAGCCTCCTAAAGAAGGTGAATATTTTGATTGCTGTCTGTTTATTATTTTACTGTATTCATACTTGTGCTTGGAACTAGGAAGGAGGAATGAAGAGTTGATATTAACCTCTACACCTCAGAAACTTTTGACAGATGTGGAATGGCCTTATCTATAAAGTGAAGGTCAAATAACTTCTTTTTCAATAGGTTAGTGTGAGGCTTAAATAAGAATATATATGTATAATGTCCTTAAATGATTCTGAGACATGAGTTCAATAAATGGTAGGTACTATATTATTATTTGGAGGCCAACAGTGTGCAGGGAGGAGGCAGGATTTGCTTGGTCTTGTGTGGTCAGTTCCTGGGCCTGCAGAACTCTGAGTTCTTGTGGCTGCACTCCAGTGAGAATTATACCTGGGACTGGTGTTGAGGCTAGCCTTTTTCCAGTTAAAGTTAACTATGAAATCTGTAGTGATTTTGAAATCAAGAGTGATTCTGTAAGTCACCACTCCTATGAAACTCCATAGATTCATTCTTCTCATATCTTAATAAAACCTAAGTTAGGTTTTTTAGTCACTTGATACTGATTTGAGGAGGAGAGTGAAAATTTTAGTCCAATCTAGTAATTATAACTCCCTTTGAATTGAGTATAAAAACTCTAATGTCATTTAATGGTTAAACTCTCCATTCTCAGTTTAGGCTTACATCTGATGGGCGGTTCCACAGTAGGGGAGAATACTTGGTTAGTGTCTGTCCTCAGAGAGACATTTCCTCTTACACTTACAGTGACTGTCTCTGATCCTTCAATGGTCAAAGCAGGGGAAGAGTAGGGAAAAATATACTCCTATGTGACTGGTATTGTGGTCACCTGATTCTGGTGCCACAGAGGGTCCTTGCATAATTGCTGGCTATTTTTCTTTTTTTAAGAGCAACTTTAGTAGTTTCTCATAGACTCACCCTCTGCAGATCTTCAGACTACAGCTCTTTTAATAAGTTAAATCAGTGTCCTTCAGCTGCTCGCTTAGCTCTCACTCCTTATTCCCCTGGCTGGTAGGCTGTTCATCTTTGCAGGGGTAGCATTGCCCTCAAGTTGTTCAAGAGCTGTCTTCTAAGGTTCTAGGTCAGCTGCTTCCGTGAGGAAGATATTTAGCCTCTAAGAGACATGAAGGATTAATGGACAGTTGGATGGTAGAAATAGAGGTCTTTCCCAACTAAGCCAGTTCTACAGCTTTACTGCCTCAGGCCCATCTAGTCAAATCTTTTCACCTTTGCACTCTTCAAAGGTGAGTTGTGTATTCCACAGGTTTCTCAAACTCCAAGTGACATATGTCAAGTCTCTGAATAAAGCCCTTCTCAACTGACTTAGTAGAGTGAAAGGTAGGCCAATCCCCTCCTCACTGCATGGGCTGAAACTAGGGCAAAGTGTGTAAGCCCTCAATGTCTCTCCTGGGAATATGTGTCCTAATTCTCTAAATTCTCATCCCCGAGACACTTTGAGATACTGGAAGGAAGTGAAGAGCCAAAGGTCACAGGATTGGTTTTTAGGCCACCCTTCTTGGAAATCCTGCCCAGAGATTGAACACTTCCATTTGGAATGTGGAACTTCTGATAAAATTAAAGTGAGACAACAAAAGAAATTACGTTTAAATCTTGTCAAACATTTATTGAATTGTAGTAATTTTTGTTTAACCTCTTTTTCAGAACTACTGTAAGACCTATGAAAGCAGAAATTTCTGCCTTTACTCATAATGCAGTATTTAGCACAATGCCTGATATATTTTTATAAGTATTTGTTGAATGATACATGAAGAAATGAATATATGTAGATTATGTAACTGACTTTTTCTGTATGAACTGATCATTTAAGTCTGATAAACTATAATACTCAGATATAAGTACTAGATATATACATAATTATTAAATTTTAGCTGTATTATTTCCAGACCTCAAAAAAAGTTATCTTCTCAGTTTGTGTTGTGTCAGGAGAATAATGCATTTGATTTTCTCAAAAGTTAGTATTTCCCTGTGAGTAGGAGCTTGCTTGCTTGCTTGCTTGCTTGCTTGCTTGCTTTCTTGCTTTCTTTCTTTCTTGGTACTGGGGATCGAACTCGGGTCCTTGTGCTTGGAAGGTAGGTGGAGAACCGCTGAGCTAAATCCCTGGCCTGGAACTTTATTTAAATATGAAGCTATTTACATAGAAGAAAAAAATTAATTCCATTTAGCTTACTATTACTCAATTTTATTAAATGTACTATAAATACACTATACCTTATTTATTTATGTTTGTAGTATATGTTTACATACCTTGTGGAAAATTAGTACATGTATATAATACATCTTAATTTCTTATTTTGCACCCCTTTTCCTCCCTTCTTTCCCCCCTCCATCCATCTCTTGATACCCTTCTTTTCTTATTTTGGATACATGTTTGCAGTACCTAATGTTGACATTCCTTATGTTGAGTACAAGTACATAACATACCTTAATTTTTTTCTTCATCGTCTTTTTCTCCCCTCTTTCCCCCTTCCTTCCAACTCTTGATCCTCTTCCCATTTGAGAAAGATTTATCTCCTTACTCCCTATTATCTTGTATTTTGCTCTTTATTTGTACTTTGGGTTTCTCATATAAGAGAAATCATGTGATATTTAAGCGTAGTGTCTGATTTATTTCACCTAACATTATCGGCTCAAGGTGTGTCATCTACAAATGACTCATCTTTAATTATGGCACAGTAGCACTCTGTTTTGTGTGCATTCCACATTTT